ATACTAACACAATACTGTTTTTGATCGACAGCAGTAGTTATTTGTTCCATTATTTCCATGAGAGCCATTGATGTAGAGTTTTTTGCTCTAAACCCATACTGACTGCTACTTAGAATGTTTTGTTTAGTAATAAATTTATCTAATCTGGTCACAAACAGTTTTTCTAGAATTTTTGAGAATTGTGGTAATAAGGATATTGGTCTATAATTATTGAACACACATTTATCACCATTTTTAAAGAGAGGAACTACTTTTGCTACTTTCATATTGTCTGGAAATATTCCTTTTGAAAATGATAAATTACAAATGTATGTAAACGGCTCGATAACATAACTCATTATGTCCTTTACAAACATCATATCCATGTCCACCCAGTCTTTTGATCTCTTATCTGTAAGATTTTTTACTACATTCATTATTTCTTCTTTGTCAGTTCCATTAAGAAAAATACTGTTGTCACAACTTATAACTGAATGGTTCACATTATTGTCTACTTTTGGTATTTTAGCTGCAAGGCTTGATCCAACGTTCACAAAATGATGATTAAATCCATTTACAATTTCATTTTCATCATGGATTTCATCGTCATCTTTCAAAAAATATTGTGAAATACCTGTTTTTGCTTTATGACTTTTCAGAACACTATTTATTACTCGCCATGTAGCTTTCATATCACCATTACTTTTATTTAATAAATCACTATAATATTCCTTCTTGTGTTTCCTTATAATCGCTACTAATTTATTTTTATACTTCTTATATTTCTCTTCAGCCTCTTGTGTTCTCAATTTCAAGAAACATGTATACAAATAATTCTTTTTTTTACAAGCATTTCTCAACCCTTTCATCATCCATGGTTGGTCAACAACATTTCTCTTTGTACAATTATTTTGCACACAATTCTTTTCATACAGAGCTCCCAAAATATTCATAAACTCATCATATGATCTGTTCACATCATCAACATACACGTCTTTCCAGCTTTGTTTATGTAAATCATCTTTTAATTTGTCCAATGCTTTTTTTGATGTGTTTATTGTTTTTTCCTTAATTGTAATTTCTTTTGTAATGCTTTGATAATTTTTATAAATCATGAAAACTGGTAAGTGATCACTCAAATCACTCATTAAAATACCTCCCATCACATCCCCATTTGTTACATTTGTGAAAATATTATCAATTATTGTAGCACTATGAGTTGTAATTCTTGTTGGTTTTGATATTAACGGATAAAGATTTAAACTACACAATGAATTTGTAAATGTACTGATGTTATTTGAATCTGTTTTATTTCCCAGGTCAATATTAAAATCTCCACACAAAAAAATGTTTTTATTAAAACTCTTGTCCAATAGTTGTACGATTTTATCAGTGAATATTTCTATATTTGATCCTGGAGATCGATATACACAACTTATTAATATGTTTTTATCATTCTTGTTTATTATTTCTATTGTTATTATTTCCATGATATTATCAACAACTATTGACATTTCATTAATTAATTTACATTTTATTTCATTTTTAACAAATAGAGCCACTCCACCACC